CTCCATTGGAAGAATCCCACGCCCAGCGCTGAGGGTGGGGCTTCTGGAATTGTGAGTTACCATGGATTGTCTTGGTCGCCATGATTAACTCAGATAGTCGCTCACCCTTTTCGTTCCATTCTAATCCGTGGGTCCTAATGTGACGTTCTTCTTGGTCCAATCTTGGCGTTGAAATCTCCAATGATGACCTTGAAAAATGTGTGGTCTTCTCTGTAGAACTTGTCCAAGTCCATATAGAACGCTTCGACTTCTCCTTCGTCATAGTTTGATGTCGGCGCGTAAACGACGAAGATTGTCAAAGCCGAAATTTATCCACATCTTTTTAGTCGTAAACATCCGATTCGGGCTGTTAGCTGTTCGAATGGATCAATGTTCATGGACAAACTCTCGTTGACGAGAACGCCGACGCCGTCGACTCCTCTACTGTCGCATGTTCCGAGGAACAACTCAAAAGACCTACTTTCTATAAACCTCGGCATAGATAGTTGATATATTTATTTATATGATCTTATAAACTGATCTTCTTTAGCTGATGCGAGATTAGTATTGTTGTAGTTGCTGTTGTTGTTGGTGTTGTTGGTCGATGGCTGACGATGGTGAGTTAGGATGCTATGGTCAAATGTAGTTCTACGCCATATTAAACAGAAAGGCTACTCACCGTGATGTAACGAGTAGGACTGGCCCACGCGTTGCTCACGTGCGGTCCCGAACGAGGCACACCCAGGGGTCAAAATATCATTTTGAAATAGGGCGCCAGGTCACATGTGATAGTGAGGCATTCGCCTTTGCGAAAGACGGAGACCAACCGACCTTGCTTCCTATCTCAAAATGGTATTTTGACACCTGGGTGTGCCTCGTTGGGGGCGGCAGGTGAACAACGCGTGGGCCAGTCCCACTCGTTACATCACGGTGAGTAGCCTTTCTGTTCAATATGGCGTCGATTTAAAAGTTTGATCTTCATTAATACTTTACCCTTTTTCCCACCGAATAATTAAAGTATTCGAATATAAAATATATCCAGGCTCTGAGGAAGGCGAAATCGCCGAATCGTCAGCCATCGACCAACAACACCAACAACAACGACAACGAAGACCTGTACCAACCTCGTGTCAGCTTAAGGAGATCAGTTTATAAGATCGTATAAATAAATAAATAAATCGCGTGGAATAGTTCTTCTCCGGTGCCATACAAGGCGTTGAATGGGTGACGTCTTCTCGTCTCGGACAGGCCGATGACTTCGTACCTTATCCTTCTTGCTTGCATAAGCAAGTCTTCTATCGAGGACTCGGATGCAAGTGTACGTGCATTGTAGGTACAGATCGTCACTATAGTTCTTTGCAATCCAGTGAGCTTCCATTGGCCCTGAGATTTTAGCAACCTCTCCGTACTCGTCCTACCCAACGCTGCCAAATTGGGGCTTTTTCAGGGTCAGGAGAATGAAGCCCGTTTCCACTACTGTTTTTATCTTTTTGATGCCCACATATAGCTTGCTGGGCTCTGAACGTGGGGACTGAGTATACTCACGGGTAGCTTGCCAAGCTCTCCCGTAGTGGATATGGAGCATGTTTGTTAGACACGACTCCTAACCGCCTCCCATATACTTCCCAGTCTTGATTGCAGGTTTTTGGCCGAATTGACTCGTAGAATACAATCTGCACAAACTAGAACGCACCCACACACGCGTGCATGAATACGCCTCGTAAATACGGAAAGTATGTGCCAAATCGGCGCAGCAGAAACAGGGAGTTCATTCCCTGGATCCACCTGCGTTTCAGGAAAGCAAAGTTCGCTTTTGGTCCGCGATTAACCCCCTTTCCGCCACCTGGTGACGCGCCACGCAGTCTCGCAGCTAACGCTAACGGGATCCCTCATATGAGGGAGATCCGTGGACAGCGACAAATGAGGATATAAAAATCATCAAACCTATGCTAGTCGCTGCTATGGCCCCAACTGCTGCTCCAGGATCAATGACGGACCGCCTTCCTTATCTTGTTGTAGCAAGTCTCAAGAAATGTCACGAATTGTGGATGTAAAACACAAAACGACTGCATTTGTAAGCTTCTGAATATATAAAAATCGGCAAAAGAAATTATAAAGAAACATACTACAGTGCAATCAAACGACTAAATTTCCTTGATAGTGATTCGACCATCTCAACACGTTTCGGTTCGGTCAGATATTTTGTAGAATTTGGACGTAAGTGTACAGGATTTGTGAGTTGGGGAACTCCCACACGTTACTATGCATAAGGCAAGCTAAGTTCATTGGTGAAGTTTGCCAGCAACAGATAGAAGTGCAGTCTGCGAGGCTTGTAAGCCCAAAATGTGGAAGTGTCCAAGTATTCCAACTATTACTTTTTAAGGTAAACGGTCACATAATGTCGGCATGAATAATCACTCTTTTTAAAGAAAGTCCAGCTAACACGACGTCTTTGTGGAATTTTGGAAATTCTATAACAACCTCTTAAATTTTCTTTAAAAAAAATCTTGAAAGATATTGATCATTCCAAGTAACCTTGGCACTAAGCCTTCTATTAAGGGCGACAAATTGGTACTAGACTTGTCTGGGAGGATAGCAGCACTGGCTCGATGAATCGGTAGGCCACCGCGAGTCATTGTAAAGGCCAGATATACATTGATTTACTTTCAAGGACGTTTGGTGAAATCAAATGCATGGTGCATCCTTCAAGATTCGATCAACGCCGACAGCTTTATCCTTCATTCTTTTATGACAGTTGCATGTTGTTTCGGAATATTTCCGCCCATACTGTGTGGTGAAACTTCTATGGCATGCGCCATAGATGTCAGTTTTTTAACGTAAAAATATTCAAAATATAAATAATAATGTAGAATAATAGAAAATAGGATATGAAATATGTATAATTGGTGCTTCCACATAATCCAACAGGATGTGTACACGGCACAGTACGAATTGTGTTCATCACTCAACGAAAGACTCGCTTATTCGAGATCTTAGAGACCTCTACCATATAAAGGCGTTACCCTTTCCACGTCCCTGTTCGCCCAATTCTTTCCTTCATTCACAACATATTTCTTCCTATAATATGACAGGATATCACGTAATCACCTTGTATGGATCCCGTCACCCCTTGTATTCGATTCATTTCCCCGCATCCATCGTCCACGAAGCTCTTCGACCTTTTTTCGTGTAAATTTGACTTCTGATTGAGGATTTTAGCCGTGGTTATGAATGTCTTCAATGCCGATCGAGTCGATTCTCCTTGGATTCGATTCAGGGATACCCGTGCTATTGTGTCCCCATATGAAACAGAGAGACTCGCGCCCACAGAAGTTTGGCGCGGTTATCCCAACCTATGTGGGATGAGCAACTTGGTGGGGCCGATGAGTGGTCAAACCAGGGCCACGTTAGGTTGGTTTGCGTCTGCGTAATGAACGAGATCACTACCACTGGGCTATCTGCTTTCTTCATAATAGATGAAAGTATATAATATCCGTAACTTTCATATCTTTTTTATTATGACGTACTCACCGTTCCTTCACATTGAAACAGTAAATCATGTGAGTACGGTACTTGGCTAGAACGTTCCTCTGCATTATTGACTCTCAACCATTGTGTAATCTCTCCACATTTATCGATTGCCCCCATGATTGATGAAATTTGAAACCTACATTGTGGAAGAGCATAAATCCACATGTGTCAGTATAAACGTATTCCATCACGTGTCTTTCTTGCTATGAAATTCCTCAACATTCTAATTTGTTCGCAGCAACTTATGCAGAGGATACAATTGAGGTTTACTGGACAAATGCTAATACGTAAATTGCTAGTAGGGAAACATAAGCAGCAATAGCTAAAAGTACCACTGTTTTATCAAGTAGTACCTCCAAGCACAACAACTAATAAAGTAAGTAGTACAACGGTGGCCATATCATACTTTTTCCGAGGTTTCTCCGAGGTTTCTTCACGACATGACAAGAAAGGGTAGAAAATTTGTAAAGTACAATGTACAGTTTATAACCAGACAATTTAGAAGCCAGTTTGAGAGAATGCGTAAGCTTCCTGGACTTCCAAGTCCTGCCAGAGCCACTTCCCAAACATCATGAGCAGTTTTCTGACGTCATTCCGTAATTACACAATAGCTGAGGCGTGCATTTTTAATCCATGATAAATTTTTGAAACCTAGGCGTCAGGCTTTCTTAAAGTCTTGTTTAATTATTTTTTTTTATAACAGAGTTCTTCATATCTTTTGAGTTTTATCTGCAATAGTAGCATTTAGGCAACTTCTGTCATGCAGAACGTTGAAGACGTGGAGAACCAACACGTCGTGCCCACAAGAAAGCGGCCGAGCCACGTTACCGATGAGGAGCATGCGATTAAATTAAAGCGGACTGTGGTTGCTTCATCAGTTATTAATAGGCGGTTAGGTGTACGTAAGTGGTACAGTCTCCATCTTCCTTACATAGAGTTTTGCATGCTAATCCACCGTAACCCTTGCTTCATACTTACTTGTTGGATACTTCGATGGCCCATCCTCACTGGTTGTGCGGGCCTTAGCATAACCTCCATTTCTTCTGAGATTTGGCGGTTTAGCCAATGTAGTTTTCTGGAATCCCGAGGTCAGCCTGGCCAAAGTCTGCCCCAGGTCTTCACCACCACAGGCGGTCGCCGTCCCTGTGGATCAGAGGGAGATTTGCCACCATGCGACTAGTTTGATACCAGAGCGATAGTGGATCCTAGCACTGGTCTACTTTTAGCCGGGCTTCCTGATGGAATGGTGGGGCTTCTTGGGAGGCTCTGTTGGTGCAGCGAATCCCCCAGCTGTGAATCACAGCCCGACATCCAGCAACACCTCCCAGCTACCGTGAGGCGTTAAACCGTTGGGAGGGACCCTCCCTTTATAAGGGAATTGGTTCTGTCATGTTTATATTGGTTGCATTTTCGTAGTTTTGTTATATAAGCAGATTTCAGCGCACGTAGAAGTAGCGGGTCGAATAGCGGGTGTTGAGCTAGAAAACTTTATGTGTCATGGTCATTTAAAGATAGACTTTGACACTCAACGTAACAATTGCTTCTATATTGGAGGACCGAACGGAAGCGAGTTTTTTTCATGACATTCTGTTTTACTTTAGTGTCAGTTGTGTGTTGATTGGTTATCCCTGTACTGAAATCTTGCTTAAGGTGGAAAAAGTGCACTTTTTGCTTCTATGAATATTGGTCTGGGTGGTCGAGGAAACAGTAACGATCGTGGAAATTCTGTAAAAACGTATATCAAAGATGGCAGGAGGTAAATATCTTCTGTTGATCATTTCATTTTCGCTTGATTACCATTAGTCCTCCCTTCTAAGTGTTTTGTAGGTCGGGTGAGTCTTTCAAATTTGTGGTGTGGTAGGTTTCGACAAATCTCAGAGGTTATTTGTTTTTCTTCTTATTAATCTTTCATTTAGTAAAGCCAGGATCCGCCTGGTTCTCACTAATCGAGGATTGTCTAGTCATCCAGACTATGGAAAATTTGTGGTTGTAGAGCGTACGATTACCACGTCTTGTTCGACTTATGTTCTCAAAAGTATAGTTGGTACTGATGGGAACGAGACTGGTCAGTTAAGAAAAGTACCCACCTTAGTGTCTTTGCTTCTGTGTTCTTCGTTTTCATTGTTCTGACAAGTTTTTCTGGCCCTCTTGTTTTAAAAAACAAACAGTGGGAATGAAAATAGCATTCAGAAGTGGTAGTTTCGAAAAAGAAGGCCGATTTGGATCAGTTGCTAATGCGATACGGCATACAAATCAATAATCCCATATTCTGGATGACTCAAGACAGGTCTCGTCATTTTTTGCATCAGATGAAGCCAGAGAGGTTATTTCAGGTAATTATATATATGTAGTATATACATATATATACGTGCATATTGACGTGTATACGTATGTATGTGGGTATATGAACAGTGATTTAAAGTCTGTAGGACATGTGAGCAAAATTAAATTTTCAGATTTTTATGTGCGCTACTGAGCTCGACCATACTAAAGCTTGTTATGAACAGTGTGAAGTAATTATTGCTGGAGTGGAAGCAATTTGTAAATCAATGAAGGAAGAATTAGAAAAAATGAGGAGGTGAAGCTTTTTTGGTCAAGGCTTTTTACTTCGAGAGTGTTCCAAGAATGTTGTTTTAAATGTTTCATTAAAATGTTTGGTAGTTCTTTCTTACTCAAGTTGTTATACACTCCGTATTGCTTACTATTAATCACTAGAAGTAAGTATAGTCGGGCCTCACATCTCAAGAATTTTTCTCGGTTCTCTCTCATGAACGGGCGCGTGTGGCGCAGTGGTCGGAGGCGTCCTGCAACACACCCAACGAGTTGGTTCCCACGCTCATAACCCACCAAGCCTTTCATCCCTCCGGAGTCGGCAAATTGGTACCAGACTTGTCTGGGAGGATGGCAGCACTGGCTTGGTACATCGGTAGGCCACAGCGGGTCATTGTAAAGGCCAGATATGCGTTCAGTCACCTCCAAACGATGCTTGATGAAGTCGAATGAATGGCGTATCCCTCAGGGATTGTTCAACGCCGAGAGCTTTATCCTTTATCCATTCATATGCGACGGCATCTGACGCTACTATCAGCAGTCACTGGTCAACGGGAATGTTCTTGGAAGAAGAAATCGACATTAACAAGACAAAGGCCCCAATGGCGCCGTGTGTAACACATGAGCATCCGGAAAGGGTAATCGCGGCTCAGGTTTGTCTGACGTCAATGTTCTGCGAATGCCTAAGCATAGTGGTGGTTATTTTATTTAATTTTATACGACCTGTCCTCAAATCTACAATGCTTATCACGGCCTCTCTCACATTCTATTCGTTTCCTCACATTCATCATTCACTAAGGTCGTCATATTTCTAAATGTGCCTTCGGCTGCTGCTTGAGGACTTCCATTTCGTCTTGAGTGCCGTATAATACCGGTAGAGTCAATTCTCATTGGAGTCGTGAGATAGCCGTGCCAGAGCGTTACTGAACTGCAGAGAATGATTTTTCCTGGACATGTTCGGTACTAATTTCGCGACTCCGGTTAGATGAAAAGCTTGGTAAGCCCTAAGCGGGATCAGACCTACACCGTGGTCGTGATGACCAACATCACTACCACTGTGCAATGCTCTCCGATGTATGAGATGCGTTGTTGTTTTCGTGATTACACTAAAGGCGATTTTAGTTTTCAAAGGTTTTAAAGAGGTAATATAACCTTGTTTACTTCTTAAATCTTTCGGCCAACCTTTGGAATTAGATGGATATTTCTGCAGACATCTTTATGTCTAAATAGTAACAATTTTCAGTGTACGATTGCACCATAGTTTTTAAAATTTTTTCTAGTCTATGCGTTTCTCCTAAACGGAATGCCTTATTTTTCGCTCATTGGTTATAGCAGTATTTGTGTTGTTTTTCGTATTTCACCAAGCTAATTGCTCTTGGTGAACACCAGTGAAATGTGAATTGAACAAATGAATGAATTGAGTGCCTTGTGCGATATATTTCATTCATACGTTTTTCCCTGTTTGTTGATCTTAGCATGGTGTTTTAGGCGTTGTCAAGCTATGGTAGAAGAACGTCAACGATTACGCATCCTTCAAGATATGCGCAAAGAGCAAAATGATATAGGCTGGTTACTGTTATGGTGTCCTTTGAGAGACGCACTTCAGGTTTTTGAGTTTACAACTCCTTGATATATCCAGTCTATTGTTTTTGCTGATGGAGATGTGAGAGAACAGCAGTGTATCACACTGTTGTCGGTCCCTTTAGTTTTTTCTTTCATATTTATGTGCATAATTTTTTGGTCGACATACTTTCGACTTTAGGTTGTTTAATTTAAAAAGGAATGAATACGGAGTGTTTGTTGTAGGAATCGGCGTAAGCTCAATAGAGACTTTATAGGGAATCAAGTATCTCTAGGCATCATTACCCCAAAACATTGTGTTGGTAATGTCTAAATTATTTTAAGGCAATTGGAAAAGTGAGAGAGAAGCGAGAGAAGCTTCAAAAAGAGTTGGAACACGTAGGGAAGCGAATCGGTGAAACTGCACAAAAAAAGAATGTTTGTTTTTTTGTCATCTTGTTTATGTCATGCTTCAAGTGTTGTTTTCGAAGAACTTGTTCTCACTGCTCTTTTTAATTTCTAGGATTGCGAAGTTGAGGCTTCTTCAATGAGGTCAGCGATTAATGTTGAGTCCGATAGCCTGACTAAACTAAAAGAATTAATATCCGAGAAAAAGTCGGCCATCAGGTATCGAGCTTAGAATCTGTTTTGTTAAGTGTATCATAGAGATGTCATTTTTGTTTTGCACAGCAATGTTAGCAACGAAATAGCGGGTGAGAAAACGAGGCGAATGAGGTTGGAAAGAAGTAGAATGTAGGTGCACTTTTGCATATTTCAATGTTTTGTGGATCCTACCGTATTGAGAGAACTTTCTGTTTTCAAGATCGTACGAAGAAAGACGTGATCGTCTTAATGAGAAGATGGCGAAATTCAAAGAGGAATCCCAGTGCGAAAAGCGGAAGCAAGAGGCATCGCAGACTAAAATAAGGTTGGATGAGATTACAGAAAAGGTGTGGTCGTAATCTTACTTACTTTTAAATCATGTCGATTTCAACTGATAAGTTGCAAAGACTCGATTTCTTAAAACACAACTACATAACTTGGGAAACGGATAGGCTCTACATTTCCTCGTCTTCATGTCTACTAATGTTAATTTTGGAAGCTCATCACGTTAAAGATGGATATGTTTTGTGCTTAATCGGTTCGTCGCTAGCGTTTTTTCATTTTAGGAGTCAGAGGTTATTGAGCGCTTACGTCTAGTTCAACAAGAGCGCGATCAGCTACAGAAAGGTCAAGAGCAATCTTCTGTTAGTAATGACAAGGTATGAACTTGTTCTGAACTATTTACAGTTTCTGGTTTATAATTTCTGCTATTGAGCAAGGATATTTGTATTTCATTGACTTTTTTTTAAAAACCAATCGTCTTTTATCTAAAAGCATTTCGGTTTCAGATTGTGCGTGAATCTCACGAAATTTTAGGGAAAATGAAGGATCTTGAACAAGAAATTAATCGGTATGAAATGACCACGAAGAATGCCGTCATGAGGTATGCGATAGGTTCGAGACGTCTTATGTAGAAATTTGTGTCTTTCTTTTACTCGTACCATCGTTTAAAAATGTTTCTATTGTACATGAGTTTATGAGTTTACGTAGTTCTTAAGTAGGTTTGGGGAGAGTGTGCCAAAAATTTTGGAGGTGTTGGAAGCGAACGCTGACAAATTTGAGTATTCACCTCGTGGACCTATAGGTTTGTCAGATTACATTGCTGTTATCTTATTCATTTGCTCTTCGTATTTTGTGTGAGGAAATTATTAGGAATGCACGTCAAAATGCGAGACAGAAATTGGACCTTTGCGGTTGAAGAAGCTACTCGACGCCTTTTACCATCATTTGTGTTTAATTCAAAACGTGATCATCAAGTGTTCGAGCGAATAATGAGAGCAAATGGTGTAGCTGGAGCCTTACCAAATGCTATTTTCGCCAAGTATGTGAATACGACTCAATAAAGGAACGTGATAGTTCGCTAGTAGTGGTTTTCTTCCTTAGATTCGATGTTCTTCCTCACGATGTGAGCTCTAATGAACCTTCATCTGAATGGGATACGATTCTCCGTGTTATAGAAGTTAACGACACTGTCATTAGGTTAGTACTTATTATGATGTTAGTTGCTTTTTCCTTTATAAGTCATGTGCTGCAGAATTCAAGTTAGCAAATACGTACACAACTTTTAGAAATGTTTTGATCGACATGGCCTCTGTGGAAGGAACAGTACTGCTTAAAACTGATGAGGACGCCCGTCGTATTATGGATGGAATGGTAGTAGTTGCCTTCAACTGAAGACATGAGCCAAATGTGATCTTAGAAGTTTGAAAGATGTATCAAGTGTTACTAACACTTTCTTCTTTCGCAAGTGAACAAAAGCATTAAAAAGCGATCATTATTGAATGGCCAAAGAATGTTAGTAGTGTGTTCGAAAAAATAGTTAACTAAACTCACCGAAACAGTCGGATATTTCCCTAATGAACTACATGATCTCTGCTGAATGGTTGCATTATGTTGTACGTTTATCACAGTTACGTGGTAAAATCACGAAATGAGGATAGAGCTTTCAGCGTTGATCAATCCATGAGGGATGCGCCATGCATTCGATTTCACTGAGTATCGTTGGAGGTGACTGAATGCATTTATGACCTTTGCAGTGACTCGCGGTGGCCCACCGATGATAGCCAGTGCTGCTATACTCCTAGACAAGTCGCACCAATTTGGCCGATACAGGAAGGATGGAAGACTTGATGAACCAGGGGCACGGGGATCCAACCTGCCTGTATTGAGGGCCCCTCCGACCACTGTGCTACACAGGCCCCTAAACCACAAAATAATGCCTATTATTTGAAGCAACAATTTGTGTAGATTGACGCATGTTCTTATCTTACGATTTTTTTCTAGTGTCCCGACAAGTGTGTGCGTGCGTTTACTGCGAGTGGTGGCATGGCGATGGGACGAAATCGTCGCGGCGAAGGTTTCTATCGTTTTTATGCCTGCCGAGGCGCTCCGAGGACAGTGTTCCTTTCTGATCAAGATGCTAATGTGGACATCGTGTTAGAAATTAGACCAATTTTGTATTTTTGCATTTTATAACTGTTTTCTTCGAATTTGCCCTATGTGCTAAGGGTGACATTTTGTAGTTCTCTGAAAGCTGAACTTTCGCGACTACGAGATGAAAGCACGAGAGTGAAAAACGATGTCAAAAAGGTTGATCAGTTCGTTTTCATCATCAATTGATTATTCTTATCATTACTTACTTGGATATTTGGATGACCCGTCTTCACCGGTTGTGTGGGCTCCAGCATAATCTCCATTCTTCGGAGATTTGCTGATTTAGGCATTGTGGTTTCCTGGAGTTCCGAGGACATCCTGGCAAAGGTCTGCACAAGCTCATCACCACCACAGGCACTCGCCAGGTTTTTGGATCGGAGGGAGATTTGCCACCATGCAGCTAGTTTGGTACTAGGACGGTGATGGATCCTGGTATTGGTTTACTCTTAGCTAGGCTTCCTGACGGAAACGCCGGACGTTTTCTCAGCTTGGGAGACCCTGCCTAGTGGATGAGCCCCCCAGCCACGATGAGGCGGTAAACCATTGGGAGCATTATTGTCATTTAGCTTGGTTAGTTGTTAATAATGCTATACTTTTTATCGAACGAATATCTAGGCTGCCTCAGAACTAGCCTCAACACAACGTAAATATGGCAAAGCACTTCAAGAGTATATCGTGTTAGAGAATGAACTTAACAGCTTGCGAAGTCTGTATCGGTCACTAGAACGAAGACTTGAGCAGCTTCAGATGGAAGACGATTGTTCGATTTTAGATAACATGGTAAGGTTTACCGAAAGTAGAACAAGGAACGTGTTTATTTCATACGGTTTTGTTTTTTGACGTTTTTTAACCTACTAGTGTGATACTGCAAAAGTGGCGTGATACGGCCACTGCAATGTGGCCAGTATTGTGAGAATGTATTTAAGCGTGCCAGCTTGGATGAAATTAATGGTCAGATCGGCGAATTAAACAATGAACTTGCAAAACTGGACGAGGTAGGGGTTTCTTGAAGGTGCTTCCTCTGTTTTCATTGGTGCCTCTGTATTCGGTTAATATCATACTTCACAAACATGTTTTGTTTGTTAGTTGTCACATTTGTTACAACAGGGTGTGTCAAAAAAGCAAAAGATGCTACTTGAATTCAAAAAGGAGCGTGAAGAAGTGGAGTCCCTCTTCGTTAGAACGAAAGATAATGTCGCACTGTTGCAGGTAGCTTAGTCGATTTAATTTTCCAGGATTTAGTTATGTATTTAAGAAAAGGAGGAATTATCCATGTATGGATGGTGCTATTCTTTGTTTATATCAAATAGTTTAGAATCAACTTGAAGATATATACGAAAAAATCCGCCGTCTGAACGTCGCTGCCGAGTCGGTTATGCGATATGAAGAAAGCATTCGTGAGGTTAGTTACCCTGTGTTGCTCTATCTAAATGGATAAGATGTTGTTCAAGTTTTTCTTTGTTGCTCTCCCCGACTGTCTTATCTTCCAGTCAATTGCTGAAGTAGATATCAATGTTAATGAACTTGAAGTGAAACGAGTAGAAGCTTTAGAAACGGTGAGTGCTAATCTCTTTTCTTATATTGCCAATGTATTTATTTATCTGTTAACATAAGCGAAGACCATTTTTTGTGCAAATATGACTTTTTTCATTCGACTCGTTTTGTCGAACCCATCACCCACAGAGATCTTTGGATTTAAGTGAAGTAGCTGCTTGATGGTTTGTTCTTCTTCATAAATGACTTTGAATGCTGTCGGATAGGTTGTGCATATGTTCTTGGCGTAACTGGGCGTGCAAAAGGGTTGCCAAGTTTTCACTACAGGCTTTTCTTTTTTTTCTTTTTTCTTTTCTTTTCTTTTCCTAGATGTCTCTGTTACCAACATACCAGCGCGGTAAAATCCGTGACCTTATGTGTTTTACTAAACGACATCTATGTTCACTGTAGAATTCACCCAGCTTCTGCCACAGAGAAATTACCCCAAAAAAGGACGGTTCTGTGCTATTCAAGATTATGTTTCGTTGTTCAGGTTTGTTGTTACTTTAGAGGAACAACGAAATAATTGCAACACTAGAACATCTGTTTGGATATTTTCTGAAGTAAGAGTTATTACCTGTTGCTAGTTTTTAAGGCTGAACGAAGTAAAGAACTTCCAACACCGTCATCTATGTCAATTCCGCCAGATATGGGACAGCTGGATGACACTGCCAAACTTCAGGAGATGTATGAAGCTCTAACACTGAAAATAGCATCGGCTGAAAAAGTGTAAGTGATTAGGTGTCTTTTTCTGGCTTTAAGACAGTTGTCACTTTTTCGTAATGTTACGGAATTTCAGAATTGGAAACACTGTTACGTCAGAAGAACTTCAATCGTTCAAAGCGAATTATGAGGAAGCAAAGAAACAATATTTAGTGTTGAAGGGTCTTAATAAGGTTGGCGTTCTTGTAGGATTAGCACACTTTTCATTAGTTATACAAGTAGTATTAACTGCAAGGAACGTCAAGCATGAGCAAAGCTCGGAACCCTGGGGTTCAAGCACGCGATTACCCTTACCGGGAGCTCATGTGCTATTCACCACATCATCCGAGGTCTTTCCTTGAGTACAAAGTAGGAAAAAAATGAGATTGAAGAGTAAAAACATGATGTACGGTTTCCTTGATCAATAAGCACAGTATTTATTTATTCACAATAGTTGACGTTTCAGCGGTTTCACCTTCCTGAAAGCCGGGGAAGCTTAATATACCCTAACTATAGGGGCGTTGATTGCGTATGTTCGGGTACGGATTATCTGATCACCTTCAAAGTTTAAGCGGGTTAATATATTGCGGAAACCGGTAGAGCACTGGTCCTCCCTATAAAATAACACCTAGTTAGTGAATTTAAAGTTAATCAGAGTGCTCCACTAGTGATGCATAGGACACAGAGATATAACAGAGATGATTTCGGAGGAAAAGTCACTATCTTCTCGCAGCAATCCGAAACAGCTTGTAAGACTTTTAAAGTGTTTTGGGTGAGTTCCAAAAATCAAAAAATGAACCGCAAAGAAGAGTGTTTCGTGATCACACGTGACCTCTCGCTATGCGTAGACCTGAACCAGCCACATTCTTGGGCCACGTAGGACTCTGCAGCTGGTGTCCACAAAAAAACGAGTGCATGCAAAGAAGGAAACGGCGGCTGTTTAAAAGAAGCTGTTTGTTATATTGTTTTTATTATTATTGAAGAAGCAAATGAAACTTTATGTATTATGTTTTTTCTACTGAGGTAATAAAAGTACTTGACTGAATAGATTAGGTGTCAATTTGGTCTCTGCAGGACTGAAGAAAACGAAACCTCTTAAATGTCAGCTATCGTGAATAAATAATTGCCATAATAATAATGTCACGTTTGCTCATCATGAAAGCAGTGAATTATTGATAAATGTCTTTGCTAAAAGAAACCCTGGAGTTTGTTACATGGAGTAAAAACATGACTGAGAGAAATCAAAATCGCTATTTACTGTGTTTATTTTACCATCTGATCTGTCATGTTTCAGAAACTGTCAGAATGTCTTGTTATACGGAAGGAAAAGTTTCCCATAATGTGTCATGCGATAACCATGCGGTTAAAAGTGGCTTTCCAAAGACTCATGGCGACTAGGTAAATGTATTTGTTTTACACGTGTTCCATGACTGGAATGCAAGTTATTTTCTTCTCCTTTTTTTACTAGGTGCTGAAAATTTCGTTAATTTGTAAAGGAAATCAATCCGAGTAGTGCTAGAATCTTTTGCTACTGTTTTCTTTGTTCCGAAAAAGTTTAACTAGTTTTATCCAAGAGATTCTTCATTTTCATGTAATTCAAGAGGACGATAAATGAAAAGGTTGCAATTCTAAGGTCTTATCATGGTAACCTCATTGTGGATCGACAAAATGGACTCATCAATATTAACGTTGCAACGCACCAAAAAGACCAATATTCACATCCGGTCACTAAGAATGTTGTTCAAGATTTAAGGGGTAGGTTGTGACTTGTTTTACTTACTTGGATCGTTGGATGGCCCGTCCACATTGGTTGTGCGGGCCCCTACATACTCTCCATTTTTTTTTGAGTTTTGCTTGTTTAGCAATTGTGTTTCTCTGGAGTCCCGAGGTCAGCCTGACCAAAATTTGCCCCAGGTCGTCACCACGACAGGCAATCGTTAGCTTTGTGGATCAGAGGGACATTTGCCATAATGTGACTAGTTTGATACTAGGGTGGTGCTGGATCCTAGTATTGGTTTACTCTTAGCTGGACTTCCCGAGCATGGACTGCTTTTCAGCTTGGGAGACTCTACCAGGTGGATGAACCCCCTGTTTACATCGCAACCGACATCCAAGAACATCTTCCAGCCACGATGAGGCGGTAAACCGTTGGGGGAGACTTGTTTTATGGTAGATAGTTTTGAATGTGTTTTAGTTGTTAATCATGGGTAGTGATTCTACTACTGAAACGTCCTAGCCTCATTTCCTTTACCGAAATGTGTGGCAATACATATGTTTCTGAACCGCACAGTGATTAGTGAATTTTGAAAATTATTAGTAGAATAGCTCTCTTGTTCATAAAAGTGGTTTCTAACCTTGCTTTTTTCGTGTATTTTAAAAAGACTTCAGGACTTTCTGGTGGTGAACGTTCATTTACGACGGCTTGTTTCATTATGGCATTATGGGAGATAATGGAGGCTCCATTCAGATGTATGGATGAATTTGACGTATTTATGGATATGATTAACAGACGAGTCGGTTTTACTTGCGTTATTTTTTGACGTATTGCTTTTTAATTTGGCAAAATGCGTATCATAGCAGGTTGTTATGGATCTTTTGGTGAAGTTGGCCACGGAACAATACTCGCACAATCAGTTTATCTTTTTTACGCCACAAGGAATAAAAGAGCTAGGTGAACGAGAGCAGGTTCAGGTGTTTGAAATGCCGAAAGTTCGTCAGTAGATAAATTAAATCATTATGTCGTGAAGATTCGTCGTGAATACCGTTGTTCTCAAAAGTTCGATTTTTCAGTTCTGCGAAAGATCTGTCTTTACGTCCTCTTTTTTTCATACGACCCGTCATCACGTCTACTTTGCTGATCACAGCACCTCTCATATTCGATTCGTTTCCTCGCATTCATCATCCACAAATATCTTCCAACTTCTATATGTGGCTTCGGTTGCTGCTTGAGGATTTCCATTTCATCTTGAATGTGGTAGAGTGTTCGAGTCCGGTTTCCGTTGGAGTCCTGAAATAGCCGGGTTAGAGCATTCCTAATTGGATTACAGAGAGTGATCTTTTTAGGGACAAGTTTGGTACCAATACCAGGGGAATAATAGGCTTGGTGAGCCTAGGGCAGGATCGGGTCGGCACTGTGCTCGTTAAGGTCAACGCAACCACCATTCTGCAATCCGCTCTGTTGTGTTCTCGTTAGTATGCATATAATTGTGAATACTTGTGTGTTAGCAATCAAATGAAAGTGTACATGCATGCTCACTCTCACTGTGAACGGGTTCGATGACTACTACATATCGATGCACTTACTCCAACTTATGGGCTTTCTCTTTGTTTCCTTTCCTATGTGATATAATTGACAATGTCATATAACAGGCTGGCGAATAGCACAGTGGTAATAATGTCGATCATAACGAGCATGGTGCTAGTTCGGTTCCACTTTAGACCAGCCAAGGCTCTCGTGCCTCCAAGGTTGGAGAGTGGGTAACGGACTTGTACGAGAAAAAATCACTCTCTGCAAACCAAATGGGAACGTTCCAGCCCAGCTATCTCAGGCCTCTAGGGAGAGTCGACTCGACCAGCATTCTACGACATTCAAAATGAAATGAAAATCATCAAGCAGTAGCCGAAGCCACACGTAAAAGTTTTAAGATTTTCGTGGATAGCGGATGCGGCAAAACGAATCGAATGTGAGAAGTGCTGGGATCCACAAATAAGACGTGAAGACGGGCATATAAAAAAATGTGATAGAATTGGTTTTTTTCACGCTGTATACATTTTGATTACTGAGTACATTTGTTCAGTATAGTCCGAGTGAATGTTCTATGCTGTAAAGAGAACTTGTTTTAATTGTTGTTGTCAATGTAAATAGTTGTTATGTTCTTGTCTCAGTAATATCAGTGATCTCTTTCTCATTAATCCCTTGTTTCGTGACTGCTATAGTATATTCCATTCAAATAAATGTTTATGCTTAATGTCCTTACTGAAGTGGGGTGACTACCATGAATTTATCGCTTTAGATATTACTTTGAATAACGCCGACTGTTACTGCTTGTATACGGATGAGCGAAGGCGTTCGTTGGTGTATATCGAGGTTATTTAACCAAAGTGTAAATGATTAACTTCCGAATTTGTTTGGTATATTGGTGGAAATTTCTATTGAATGCACCATGTGGAGGTGAATAATAGTCTTTTTTCCGATTAGGGACTGCATTGAACTCAATGTGCACGAATAATTACGCCGTCCATAGAAGTTGCTCGAAATATCTCCCTTGACAACAGTCTTGTTATTTTCTTAAGTTCAAAGGCAATAAATTCGGAATTAGGGGGTAAATCTTAGTACTAGCTTATCTATAGTGCTGTCGCCAATGTGGATGTTATGGCTATTATCATCAGCAGTACCTCAGTAGATTGGCAAACAAGCTCGCCCAAAGTCCATCAGGAGTCGTTATATGTCACCGAGTGTGAACATAACTCTTATCGAACACCGCAAGAACAGATGTAGATTGAATACATAAAGGTAGGAAAATTTTATAACGTAAAATAAGTGACCGTGTGCTTCAGTTTTCATGTATCAGTTTTGCGGGAAAGCGCAAGGAGTTTTTCCAATGTGGGAGTAGTGCGCGCTATCTTTAACACATTATAGGTGATTATGTTGTGCATTTTTGCAGTTTCTGCCTACTATAATTTTCAGGGCGGGGTACTAAGCGAAATACAACCACTTTAGCAACTATTGCCGGTATAGTTACTATTCTTTCATCATATCGTAGGTCTGTGGTAACTGTATTCGTGGCCCCTCACATCACTTTGCGATCTTGCAGCATGTAAACGGTTTAACTTCGTTGAGAGAAACTTTGGTTGTCTTAAACATCCTTTGTGATCCACACTCTTTTTGTACAATCGGAACCTTTCGTGTGTTGCATCTGTTCGGAACCATCACGGGTGCGGTAACACAAAGGGGCATGAAGCTGTCTGGCAAATCGTCCTCAGTCATCTCATCACGAGGGAGGTGAAGACGGAAGTTGATGGGTGTTTTCGGTAAAGGTTCTGGACCTGTGCCAAAGCACAGCCTCCTCCAGAAGATATTTAGATAGCCCCGTGCGTCAATACCGTATTCGCACCCCTGTTTATCATGTGTAATACACCTTGTACTCAATCCAAGGTGTTCCCTTTTGTTTTATTAAAGGTTACATGTCGCTCTTAACGTGTTAGTCTCATCAGAACCTCATCGCAAGTCTACATATAGTTTGTAACCCTTTAGTATTGTTGTTTGTGAGTCAGGTATAACCTTATATAAATCCCTTAATGCGCCTAGATCTTGTGACACTCTTGAGGTATTCTAAATGCACATGGCATTGTTTCATTGCCCTATAGCAATGATACTAACCCGCATTACCCTCATTTATTGATCATTATACAATATTGCACTCTGTATTGTACAAATGTTTATATTTCGTTATTCTTGAACTGTTACAGTTATAAACGGTTTAATTACCCAAGTTTGAGATATTGCTTTGCGACAAGCACGAAAAAGTCTTGCGTGGTAACTTCTACGAGGTCGAGCATCCTACTCGAAGCTAGTGATCATATGGTGCCAAGAACTGACCCGAAGGCCTAATTTCCACTAACAACTGCTATAAGCACAATGTTGCTGAGATATTTGCAAAGCTCTGGACCACAGGTGTCTAAGGTGGGGAACGAACGCGCTATTGTCCTTTCCGGGGAGTAAGGCATTCATCACCACACCATGCGCTGATCGATAGAACTAACTGAGAGACAGGTGAAGCGAAGGACCCGCATGTGGTTCGAAGTTTTCCAAAAATATCTCAGCAATCTGTTAGTTTATTCTATGAAGAAAACAGATAGAGCTCATGGCGTTGATCAATCCCTGAGGGATGCGCCATGCGTTCAACTTCATTAAGCATCGTTGGAGTTGATTGAATGCATACCTTTACAATGACTCGCGGTAGTCTACCGATCTATCGAGTCAGTGCTGCGTGGTGATCGGTCCTTTCTGTATTGCAAGGCGCCTTCGATCACTGCGCTACACTCGTCCAATATTTATTCCGATATTTAATGAAATAGGAAATTGTTTTGTTTGCAGAGGTCATCAGTGTCAGAATGTTGGTTAAGTGCTGCTTGCTTCTACTGGTGTTTAATCTCGGTGATGCATTTGATGAAGAGTCGTCTGAATCCAACAACGAGGAACATGAAAAGCCGGAGTTTTTTACGCTTGATGGTGTGGTAGCAGGTGGAAATTTTTCACGATATGAGCTGAAGTTCCGCAAACCGATGAGAATCGTCCTTCAGAGTCTTGAAGGCTAGTAGTCTATTTCTTTTAGGTCTGTTTAACTTATACATTCTGTGACATGTATCAAAATGAGAGTAAGTCTTTTTCGCGGTGCTAGTACTACTAGGCTCGTAGAACTTGCCATGAACTATTCAAATAGCCATAGGCCTATTGATTTCCAATACCGTGTTGTTGGGGAGCATTTTCTTCTTGAAGTTCTGATTTCTAAATGTATTATTTCAGGAGATGCTGATATATACTTCTCGTACAAGGATCAAGCAGTTTCTTATGAATTGAATAAGCATGATATTTCGTCAACCACATGTGGCTTAGACTACGTTGACGTCAGATCCTCCTCACAACCTGTGTACTTGGGAGTAGGTGATTTAATTACGCTGTTTTGTGGTAATGTCGCGCTTTTTCTAACCATCCGATAGGTGTTTCTACTTGTAAATACCAGATTATCATCTGTTTGATTGCTAAGTTTGGTGTTTCAAAACTGTTTTGTTTTGTTCGTGGTATGTTGTGCAAGTTGCACTTTACAGGTATACGGATATCCTTCTAGAAACGAGTCGTCATATCGTCTGTTGATTATTGTCTCAGAAGGTGGAAATCTTCAGTACGGTCCTGAGTTAATTCATCGGTGTGTTGTTAATTATAGTTGGTTATAACTACTTACTTGGATACTTGGATGACCCGTCTTCACTGATTCTGCGGAATACCCCGGCAGAATTTCCACTTTTCGAAGCTTTGCTGGTCGAGCCACTGTGTTTCCCTGGAGTCTCGAGGTAAGCCTGGCCGAAGTCTGCCGTGGGTCGTCACCGCAACAGGCAGTCGTCGCCTTTGTGGATCAGAGGGAGATTTGCCACCGTACAACTAGTTTGATGCTAAGACGGTGATGGATCCTGGTATTGGTTTACTTTTAGCTGGGCTTCTTGATGGAAACTCCAAACTCTTTAGCTTAGGAGATCCTGATGAGGGAATGAATTCCACCGCTGTACATTGCAGCCCGACACCCAGAAGCACCTCCCAGCCACGATGAGGCGCTAAACTGATGGAGGTGGGGGTTATAAAAGGATAAAGGATAAATCTCTCGGCGTTGATCAATCCATGAAGAATGCCCCATGCATTCGACTTCATTAAGTATGGTTGGAGGTAATTGAATGCATATCTGGCCTTTACAATGACTCGCGGTGGCCTACCGGTGTTTCGAGCCAGCGCTACTATCCTCCCAGACGTCTGGTACCAATTCGCCGAACCTGGAGGGATAGAAGGCTTTGTGGGCCATAGGCGCAGGGATCGATTCCACGTGTGTGTTGCAGGGTGCCTCCAACCACTGCGTCACACGCGCCCCTAGGGGTTATAACTACACATTTTTTTAAATCAAATAACTTTGAACTTTCCCTCCTTTCTGATCGTGGGACTTCGGGTCCAAGAATTCGTGGATGCTCTTTGCTTGGACCATTTGTACATTTTGATTGCTAACAATAAAGTTACATCAAGTTATTCAAGTCCCTAGTTATTAGTTCGATTTTGTTCCCTACAAGTTTTTTTTTGTAGATGGGGAGAGCTTCATCAAGGAGATAGTGATGAACGTCACGTTCCGCTGTATATAGAAATTTTATCATGGATATTGGACATCCTCGTTGACATTTTGGTGTGACAGCTGCGCACAAGTGCAGAGAATTTCTTCTGGAATACCGCATCTCAGCTTATCTTTGTTATAACGTCCCTTGTGTTTCTTGTCGGTATGCCTATTGGATGTGTATTTCATCGACTTTTATTTTGCCCTCCACGTTTGCTCATATCGTTAAAACGTGTATCGCTATCGCTTTTGTGCTCATAATGAAGATTGTTGCTGTTTTGCTTTGCTCCGTATATATCGTGGTTATGTATATCAGCTCTACTTTATGTATTTATTGTTAGACTGTTTGCGAGTTCTCAAACTGTACAGTTTCTCCCAACAGTTTACCGCCTCATCGTGGTTATGAGGTGTTCCTCGGTCTCTGGCTGCCATGTACACTGGGGGATTCGTTCCTCTAATAGGATCTGATAACGAGTCCGGCGTTTCCATTGGGAAGCCCAGTAAGAGTAAACCAATACCAGAATCCACCACCGTTCTGGTATCAAACTGGTAGCATGATGGAAAATCTCTGATCCATAAGGGCTGCGACTTCCTGGGGAGGTGTCGACTTGGAGCAGACTTTGGCCTGGTTGATCTCGATACTCCAGGAAACCACAGTGGCTAAACCATCAAAACTACGAAAAAAATGAAAATTTTACTGGAGCCCGTGCAAACAGTGAAGACGGGCCATCCAAATATCCAAGTAAGTACAGGAGAGTTTAAAGTCTACTTTCAGTGATGTCATCAGAGTTGATACAGTCCGCTGCAGTGTCAACAATACAACTGCAGTCATTTGAAAAGGGTCGGTGAGAAGTCACTAGCTCAATCTTTTCGTTCATTCCTAAATTTGTACACTTTTCCGCACGGAACAACCTGCTCGGTTTTTTTCTAAGTGGATTAAAACGAAAATCTAAAACCATGGATTTAAGTGCGTTTCAAGGTCTTCGTTCTCCATCGCTAAGCGAGCAGCTAGCAACAGTAGTATCAACAGCTAGTCTTGTCAAAGCTAATCCATTTCCAATGTGTGTCAACACAATCGTCGTTAGGCTTGCGGATGCATTTAAGGACGGGTTAGTTGTTAGGATCATAGTTTGTTATTTGTACGTTTTAAGGATTCGAATACAGCTACCTTGGAAGACCAATTTTTATGTTTCCTATTAGAAATTCCTTGCATACTTATCAATTACCGGCGAACTTTTTGTCCTAGTTTTGACCGTATTTCAGCTCAAATCCTCTTCGTATGACTATTGCTCGTGTTCTATCAGAATGCGATTCGCATTTATCGCTAGTGTTTTCTGGAAGCGAAATATTCAAGCGCTTTCTTTCCGTTTCTCATTCTAACGATCCCGTTGCGCGAGCAATGACGTTGCAGGTGAGAAGAGTGTTCTTAGCCCTATCCTCTACTTGGCTTAATTAGGCAGTGACTTCACTATGTTTTATTTAGGTACTAGCTAGCCTTGCACCTGTTTCGCCTGAGAGTAAGCAGGTATCCGCAATCGAGGACTACAGTGAGCTGTTTTGACATGTTTCACGTTTAAATTTTTGTTAAGGTACACCACTTAATCGTGGAATCTATGACGGCTGAGAATGCAGGCGAATTTCAGGCGGCTTGCCATGCTATGGCTGCGTTTGCTAGACTTTCTTCGTTAGTTTTATGACTTTATTCTTTAGTTTTTTTTAAATGTATGGACACCTAGTGATTAGAGATGTCTTACAATAATGTACACATAATCTCTGGTTGGAAACAGGTTGGGAAATCGATGCCAGCGAAAGTTCTATTAAAACTGTTCGAGGTTTCTTAGAATAGTCAAATCTATCAGCGTTCACTTCCAGGTTTTGCTATTTACAAGTTATGATTAGATTTTTTAGTGATTTTTCAACGACGGTGATTGGACAACTGTCCGAATTATTGCTGTCGGAACAAACAACTTACGATCGAAAAGTACAGTTGGCGCAAGTGTTTGCTAAGATGAAAGCTACGGTTACGACGACGAAGGTATTGTTTGACACGTTAGTGAACTATTTGTTTATTCACTGGTAAAAAGTACTGTACTCGTTTTTTCACACTTTTATCCCATAAATATTATAGTTGTCCTGATGGATGATATTACTTCTAGCTAGAGGCGCTGTCAGCCATCTAGTTTTTCCTCGTCATTTGATTGCTAACCTTTTCACCGCTTTATTCATTACCTTTTTCCTTTTTATTTCTCGTAGTTACAAAGTTTTTCTAAGGTGTGGAATTATTTTGTGTTTTTTTTTACAGGAAGTTTTTTCTTTGATTGGTCGTCTTCTTGAATGTTCCACATTCAACGAATTACTGGGTCCTCTTCTCGATGCAACAACAACGATGGCCGAAGCAACTCGCTACGCTATTCCTGAACAGGTACCGGTCGCCTCATATTTCCAATATTCTCACCTTTAACACTTTGAGTCCCATGCGAATTGATTCCGTATGTGATTCGATGTCGTCTCATTTTCTTTCCAGTTGTTCTTTTTCTTCATTGTAGGAAAGTTTTTTGTACTTCTTGTATTCAGTTGGTTTCTTGTTCCATATAGCTGTTTTGTCAGCCGTTGGTCAAAGGAGCTTTAATTACACTTAAATATGTGCACTAAACGGCAGAACTATTTTTCTAAAATACAACCGTAGGAATGCTGAGATTTGAGCAAAACTCATAATCGCACTTGAGCTTGAAATCCACGATTGCCTTGACTATGTATGAATGGGAATCTGGTTATGTTTGCCAATCTGTCCCTCTTCCCTGTTATTAGATAAAATCAATCTACATCGCCTACGTGGAATAAGCAGCCCAGGGTCACAAATGACTGTGATTTTGAATGAATTTTTTCTAAAGCCACTTTATATTTGAACATTTAGTTAGATATTCTGATGGGAGTAGTGTCCGGATGCCATGGAACTAACTTTCCTCTCTGCATGTCTACGTTAGAAAATATAGCTCGGTTGGCAAAGCGTTCTCATATATGGGAAGATGACCACTTGAAGGTAGTTGATTTTTCAGGATTTCATTGTTTTAATGTTATCTTTACGTCCGTTGAGGATTACCCCTCCTTACTTGACACTTAAAGTTTTCGTATGAAATGCTGAGATATTTGCAAAACTCCGGACCGCAGGTGTATGCATTGGGGAACGAACACGCGCTGTTGTCCTTACCGGGGAGCAGCGTACTTCTCCACCAAGCCATCCGGCTCCCTCGTTTTGCCTGTCACTTAAAGTTTTATTTTTAGGTGCTTTAGAGATATAGTCTTTTATCTAGATAAAATAATATCGTTTACAACTGTTGATATTGCTTCAAGGTACTTCTTACGCCGGTAGCGTAGAGCATTAAGGCAATATATTGGTTGCGTTCGCATTCTATTGAATGTAGATGTCATTTTTGCCCCTACAAGATCATATTCTTTGGCTAAATTTTTAAAGCAAGCTTTTTTAATATTTCTCTAGGTTCTAAATTTCATTGCAGAAATTGCATCAAATGAAAGCAACGGTGTCTTCGAATCCGAGCACGTATTTACGATACCTTGACGTACTTGTAGCCTTGACAGAGAAAGCTCGTCCAGGGTTGATAACGGGTTTGTATGGTGCGTTTGGGAACTCATTTGTGTCTTGTTAGTTCTGTTTATGTTTTCGTTTTCCCGGTTTCTAGGGGCAATTGTTTTTTTGCGTCTGTGATATCAAATTTATGCATTTATTCTTGGGTTTATCCACAGAGGAAGACGAGCTATTCTACAGATACACTCAGTGAGCTTGGAAATCTTGGACAGAGCGAGTCGATGCCGATGCGCATTCGTTACTTACAAATGAGTTCCAATATCCTGTGTAGGGTGCCGAATGAGCGCAAATGGCAGGCCTTATGTGGACCTTTTATGAATACTGTGGAGCATGAATTACCTGAACATTTAGCGCGAACGGTTGGTTGCAACGGTGGATATCTTTGAGAATTTTTATTCATTGTTCATTTATTTCCAGTTTTATCGAACTCTCGGTCGCTTTCTGTGTTGCAACGAGGTGGCACCTGAGCAAGTTCTGTTGGTATTGGACAGTATACTGAATATGCCGCCTACTCATGCGAATATCTTACAGTTAATAGATTTGTGCTGTCAAATAGCCAGTCGGCTGCCATTTATGGTTTTGAAGTTACATCAGTGGGCTAGGAGTCTAATTTTGAAGAAGGTACGGGATATGTTTATAAATTATTATGTCGGGAATAACCGCTGTATACCCGAGAGCAGTTATATTCCCTGCGTACGTCTAGTGTATTGCTCTTTCAGCATTTCTTATCCAGGTTATCCAAAAAAGTTCTTTATAATGCTGAGATATTTGTAAAACTCCGGACCGCAGGTGCTTGCGGTGGGGAACGAACACGCGCTGTTGTCCTTACCGGGGAGAAGCACACTTCACCACCACACCATCAGGGTCCTTCGTTTTGCCTGTCTCTCAGCTAGTTCTATCGATTTGCCATCAGCAATCACCCGTCAACGGGATTGATCTGGAGGTCCTAAATCGGCAACGAACCCAGTTAAGCTGAGGCCAGCGTGAGCTTGATGTTAGTGGGGATGGCCCATCCGTATACAACTGCACTCGTCGTCAATCCTTTTTTACTAAGTTGTATATCTAACCCATCAAGTGAAATGGGATAACGGAGTTGTTAGTGACGCAGTCGATTACGAAGCAATGTGATGACTCGATGTTCTACCCAACGGGCTCTTAATCCAAGTGGGAATGCCTTAGGTCGGCAGTCTCTAAGATTGCAAGGAGAATCCACTCGACGAGCATTCAACAGCATTCACATAGAAGACGGCAATCCTCTGAACGCAATAAAAGGAGTCGAATCCCAGAAATCCTCGGTTTCGCACAGTAAATGTGGTGAGCGGTTATGCAAAATAATAAAAATAAAACACCAAGTGAATGAGATCGTATTAACATCCATTAAAGACGTAAAATTCAATATGTAACGTAAGGAGTGGCCCCTGTTCGTGATGGTCTTTTGAATGGTTGGGTCCGCTAACGATTATTCGTCGAGGAAACATGCATTATGAATTTTATCGAAGTCAAGAATAAATGAAGTGGCACTAAAGTCTATGCCACTAACGTTTATCTGTGGGTATTCCCGTTACTCAGTGGCTCCGTTGGAGATTTCCATGTGGAATAAATCCATTGAGATCATCGCATTCATTTTTTCTTATCCACTTCATATTGTAGAGCAGTTGAATTCTTCCTTTTCTGTCCTGCAGTTGTTCTGTACGGTACAATAGACTTGTTTATTTCTCTATTGTATAGAGCATGGTTCACTCTGTCCGTCGGAGTAACTTCTTTCATACGGCATACTAAACATCCTAATATTTCTTTGCTGCTTCTGCCACATTGCGTGTTGGTAGATCTTGTTGAGAAATGGATAACCTCTGCAGTAGTCCAAGAATAACTGCGAATATGGTCTTCGATTCACTTAATTCGTTCAGGAAATGCGTTGTAATCTTTTTCCCACTTTTCTTTTGTTCGTTATTCGAGCGTCTCGTTTGTGTGTTAGTCTCAGCTACTCGTCAGTTGACATAGAAATGCTGTTTGTTGAGTTTTCTTTAGCGAAAGGTGGTGCTTCGTTATCTGAACTATCAAATATTTTGTAAAGATATATAGGTCTTGTGACCGATTCTATTTTAGCAATAGCCACTTGCCTACTGTTCTGGCCCGCTTATACGAGTAAGAAAGTGCATGTGTCTCTGGGCCTTTACTTACATTGCACAATTGTGTAAGTACCCCTTTCCTTTTCTCTGTTGTTGGTTTCACTAGAAGTCTATGGAATAAAAAGTTTTATCGGTAACCCACAACTAAGCGGCACCGGCATGTGATTTGAACAGTTCAGAACGGTTCGTTGATTAGTTCGCTACGTTCAAAACTTGATATAGGGCTCGAAACTCGGTAGACGCAGCTTCATCTCAATGTTTGTAAGTAAAATTTCTGCTACTAGTGAATTTGAGGCGCGCCAATCTCGTTTGTCACCTAGAGACGTGCTCTCTGTCCGTCGGAGCAACTTCCATACCAGCTTTGCTTCTTTAATCTTATTAAAGCTGGATTTATACTTCCCGGTTCACACCTTTTAACGCTACCAGTGAACTACTCTCGCCTTCCTGTTATACCAAGCCGGGTTTCTGACGATGGTGATTACACAGATGTGAAAGTGGTTCGTCCGAACGAAGCGTAAAAGAAACGGTGCTAAACGCCCATAATGCATATGAGGGATTTTTGCAGAGTTGTACATTTTATCCCTACCAATACCTCCAACATTTTTGAGAGATCCTTCCAACAATTTCGATAGATCAAGTACTTGAGTACAATTTCACCGCTTTACTTTCAGAGTGACTTATTCAGCACCTCAATAGCTTATCTTCTGTTGGCACCGTCCATACAGCTATCTGCCGATGTCGATTCTCTTGTGAGAGGAACTGATTTTGATCGCTATATTGTCGCTCGTGTGGCGTTTCGGAATGGGCACTGGAGAACGGCGGCGTTGCCGAATTTGAAGGAGATATGCACAACTGTGAGTGTTACTAGAGTTTTTTTTCCAGTCACAATTAAAAATCTGACTACTCACCAAATCGATCACTAAAACTTGTGAGTTCAAGGTCCTATTCAGAAGCTTCAATATTAGTTATTGTAGGCATAGAAGGAGGTGATTTAATTCATTTG